TTAATCAGAACCTCCTGCCTCTTCCACAGTTTCACAGGCCCTAGGTAGCCCAGAATTACTTTTTGGCTGCTCACAATCCACTCCCCTGTCTTCGGGCTATGTCACCCTAGACTCCAGGGCACAGGGCTGAGGCCAGCTATACCTCAGTCTCCAGAAGGGTCAAGTGGCCCAGTCCTGACCAACTGGCAGGATTTCACACCCCCAGCCATAACTGTGGGTTCAAGGATGGGCATATGACCCAAACCAGGGCAACCATCTTAACTTCCAGGATGTGTGTGGCAGCACACACTTGGGTAAACATCTTCTCTACCCATGTCTGGGTTAAAAGGTGATGTTTAAAGCCACAGCACTCAGATTACTGTCACAGGAAGAGCAGACCTAAAAATGGAGACATTCCAAAGGCAAAAAATTTAAGGGAGAGAAAGAGGGAAACCAAAACAGTGGATTAGTATTTGAAGTCCTGGACCAAGCCATTCCTGAGTGAATCTACTCAGCACATTCTAGTATCATCAGCCAATGAATTCCTTTTGTGCTTAAATTGGCTTCTTAGGTTTTCTATCAATTTGCAAGTAAAATCCTCCTATCTGGTAGAAATAAGATTGAGAGGCAGGAAGTTAAAACAACTGTCCAACCCTACAGGGATCCAGCCTAGAAAGAACATACTTCTACAGCCTCGGAGGAGCCTCAGAGTCCTTGGCCCAGAATCAAAAAATTCTAGAGTGGGAAGAGACCTTGGGGACAAAGCATCCTATTCACTCATCTTTGTCGACCATTTCTACACAGGTGTATATGTGAAGGCTCACAGAGGAAAGATATCACACAGCAACCAAGTGACAAATCCTCCTTCCCTTTGCAGTCTCAATGCTTTGAATGTGGCTGTGACTCAGTAAAGCACTTTGAACATTACAGGTCCAGTAGCCAACGATCAATCTCTTCTCAAACAAGCAGCTAAGGAAATAGTATCTTTGTTCACGGCACATCTCCTCCTGACCAATTCCTGCAGAGATGAACTTCACTTCCTATGACGATCTCTCTCCTTTCGTCTTTCTTTGGCTGACACTAGCATCTCATTTCTTCTTGGTCACTGTTTTGCCTCTCAGTTGCCACAGTAGTTGCCTTTCTGTTACTAGGACAAAACACCTGACATACACAATGTAAAGGAGAAAAGGTTTGTCTGGGCTTACAGTTTCAGAGGTTTGTTTGGCTCTACGGCAGAAACACGGCAGATGGCCACGGCAGAGGAAAGCTTCTTACCTAATGGCAGGAAGGAAGCAGAGAGAGCAGGAAGACAGCCAGAGAGAAAGGGACTAGGGACAAGATCTTCCTTCAAAAGCACTCCCCCAGTGATCTGCTTCCTCTAACTGGGCCCCAGCTCCTAATTGCTCGTTCAGTTGTGAAGTCAGCAATGGGTTAATCCGTTGATGAGGTTAGTTCTCCTCGTGATCCAATTATTTTCCAAAAACACCACCTCTGAACAGATGAGTCTGCTGGGGTGGTGTGATCATTGAGTGATTGTGTCAACTGCAGTAAGAGAAGCTCAACAAAAGTTGGCTCAGCCATTCCACACCCTGGGATGTGGAAGACTCTCCCTAGGGCAGCTTGTCATCCGGATATATAAAGGGGAAATAAAGGAAGGATCTGCTTCTGTTTCTTTGAAGGAGCTCCAGTCTTCGCCTTCACCTTGGACATCCTCTTCTCGCTTCCATCGCAGTCCCATCGGTCTTCTGATATGAACTTGCACAGGGCACTGCAGTGAGATCCAGACCTTCGTGTGAATCCTTTCGTTGCCAGTGCGCAGACCCTCTGCACGCTTCCACATCCGACTCTGTGGGTGGCCACTATAAGCCAGTCTTCTAAATTCCTATATCCTGTTACATCTGTTTGTCTAATAAGCACTGATTGATACAAGTGCTGTGGGGGGACATTTTTGATCCAAACCATAACAGTTACTCAGAACTTTTTCCTAATTTGATCCCACAATGCCTATAGACACTTAACCTCTACATTATTCACATCTCCATTCTTTACCTTTTCTCTTAAACCATCAGTTATCTACCTGTCCCCATCCGTGATTTTCCCATCATCATAAATAGTTTGGTTGCATTAAAAATAGCTGCAATTTTTTTATACTCTACCAACAGCAAACACATAGAACTAAAAATCAAATTCTTACAACTGAGTTGGTATCTTTATGATGGTCAAGGGATTATTCCTTCTTAGCAGCAGATCTTACAGCCACTTGAAACATTTTTATTTTAGAAACAGAGACTCACTGCCAGGGATTTAGCTCAGTGGTTCTGCCGCTGCCTGCCTTGCAAGCGCAGGTCCTGAGTTCGATCCCCAGTACCAAAAAAAGAAAAGAAATAGAGACTCACTATTTTGCCCAGGCTGCTCTTGAACTCCTGGGCTCAAGCAATTCTCTTGTCTCAGCCTCCCAAGTGGCTGAACCCACAATTGCACACCACTGCACCTGGCTTACTTGAAGTATTTTCAAGTGGTTCAGGCTGATAGTACAAGTTAAGTCTAATGATCTATTTCTTGCCAACTCCTTATATAACATGATCAGTTATTTTCACTTCCTGTGACTAAACTCCTCCTCCATCTACGACAGATTAATGCATTTGCCAGGGCATAATGTTAGCCAAGTTCTGGTAGCACACAGATGGAAAGCTTCCTGCAAATGTGAAGCGAGGTTATTACTCTCTGGAACCAGTGTGTGATTGGAACTCACAAGACTTACAATTATTATTTTTATATCCCTGTTAGAGTATCTTAGGAACTTACAAGTCTTCAGAGAAAAAGCTCTGGGAGTTTGGATGAGATTCACAAACTCGTTTGCTCTCCAGTGAAGCCTTTTATTACAACTTTGGACTGAGAAGGTGGAAAGTTAATTCAGGATATAAAATAAACAAGTGATACCTTAAATTTATGTAGCCTTCCTTTTGCAGAAATCTGTAACTGCCCATGTGTACCATTTGATCATCAGTGTCTTCGGTTACTGGAAATTGTTCTGGAGAGAAATAAAAAAATAAAAATTGAAAGACATTTACTATGAGCACAAATTCCAAGCTTCCTTTCTTAGCAGCACGTAACTCTAGTTAGAAAATTCCCCTAGAAATCTTTCCTCTTAATGTTGAACTTCAAATCTACAATTCATTGTGGAACCAAGAATCTACCTTTTCCAGCCTGACCTCCTTACTCCACCGGGAAACCCACCTGCTCACCTCTTCTCACATGCCATCCTGTGCTTCTTTTTTGCCCCTGGCCATGTCCCATCTGCCCTCTACTCATAGGGCTCTGAAATCTGACTTCCCAAGGGGACAGGTAACCCAACCCTGAAAAGTGGGGCAAAATTTACAGGTGGGAACAGGGGTCAGGGCAAAGTGGGGAGAGAACCAAATTTCCCCTCTTCCCCCGCTCCAGCTAGGCTGAGATACAAATCCTCCCTGCAGCCTATCTGGAGTAGCCGCGATGCTAAGAGACCTGCTTGATCCTTCATGGCTTATCCTGAAATGGGAGCCAACCCTATGGCATCTTCTGGGCCGCCCTCACCCCATCTTGGGACTCACCTCCCAGGTGAGCACAAGCACCTTAGCCCCTGCTCAGCCCCTGCCTTCTGGAGGACCCAGAGTGGAGATGTTTTCTCCAGCACAGCATTTCTGAAGGTGTGCTCTGTGTACACTGTCAGGAGCATCCTCGGGGGTGCCTACCAGAAAGACAGACTCCTGAACTCACCCCAGATGCAGTCAGGACGTCTGGGGTATGAACAGCTCTGCAGCTGACTCCTAAACACTCTAAAATGTGAGAACCAGGCCGGGGATTTAGCTCAATGGTGCCGCCGCCTGTCTCACAAGTGGAAGGTCCCGAGTTCGACGCCTGGTACCAAAAAATAAAAATTTTTTAAAAATGTGAGAACCACTAGCCAAAATTCCCTGCCACACCCCAGCTCTGCTGAAAGGACTTTCTGATTACCCAAGCTAGAACCATGGGCTCTTCACCTTCACGTACCTCGTTTTGCTGGGCAGTCCTTTGCTCCTGCATCTGTCCACTTTCTAGGACACCACTGAAGCCTCCCAAATGGCTTCACCTTTATTTGCTTCCAAAAGGGGACCAAATTTGAGAATCATGCTGCACATCAATACAGAACCAAGATGCAGTACAAGAAATGGGCACTTAAATTCTGCCAGAAAGAAAGGCCCGTGAGCCTTTAATTAGACAGAATTGGGTTTGTGCTGGATCTGCTGCACTTTCTGTTTTGTTTTTGTTGGTTTTTTTCCCCCCACAGTACTAGGGATTGTGCCTAGGGAATACCGAACAATAGCCCCAGCCCTTTTTTGTTTTGTTTTGTTTTGTTTTTTGAGACAGGGTCATGCTGAGTTGTGCGGGCTGGCCTCCAATTTGCAATCTTCCTATATCAGCCTCCCAATTAGCTGAGATTTCAGGTGTATGCCACCTTGCCTGGGTGCATTTAATTCTTGTATCCCTACTACACCCACTTTGCTGATTGTGACAAAGTGTCCAGTGAATTCTACAAGAGCAGAAGTCAGCTCATCTATTTCCATGAAATCCATAAGGGGATACACACACTGTGCACGCTGACTGCTGACAGTCAGGGTACCTGGGATATAACATTCACTCCTTTTCTTTCTTTTCCTCCCTTTCAGCCCTCCACGCCATCAGCTCTAAAGCCCTGCCCCGCACTCCCTCCTAATTTGGAAAACACTTCTAGGCTCCCCTCTGTGTGACATCAGCCAAAATGCATCTGGTTGTGTTCCGTTTATTTCCCTCTCCATGAGTCTATCTTTCCTGACTTGAGAAACTGAAGTAAAAATGTCCTTCCTTACCATACAGGCACCAATTGTACTGGTTAGCTGTGATAATCAGAGCTGGCCTTTATTCAGCATTTATCATGAACTCAGCCAGCCCTTTTTCAAGTATTTTTTCTTTCAGACCTTTCAACAGCCCTAACAGGTACATATGCAGACATCTTTTGGTATCCAAGGAAGAATGGGTACAGGACTGACCCCCCAGACACCAAAAGCCCTTACATAAAATTCCATGGTATTTGCATATAATCTACAGATAGCATAGCATATTCCTTATTTTTTTATTTTATTTTTTTGGTACCAGGGATCGAACTCCGGTCCTTGCACTTACAAGGCAGGTGGCAGAACCACTGAGCCAAATCCCCAGCCCTACATTGTTTACTTTAAATCATGTCCAGGTGACTTATGATACCTAACATGATGCAAATGCTCTTAAATTGTTATACTGTATTGCTGAAGAAATAACAAGAAAAAAGTCTGTACATATTCAGTACAAATGCAATTTTTAAAAATATTTTTCATCCATGGTGGGTCAAATCTGTGACTAGCTAAGGCAGAATGACTGCACTGTTTTTATTCACCTTTACAGATGAGGTTTTGAGAGTTAGAATTCGCCTACAAAAAGTGCTGGAGGTTGTCTGCTCATGAGATGTAGGATTGTCACCATTCTGGTATCTTCTTTCCCACTGTCTAGTGATACAGTGATTTTCCACACTGGCTTCCTGATAGGAACTTCTTATGTGAACAACTGTCCATAAGTCCGTATCCACAGTTGACCCAGGTCAATCCACAGGAAAGTAGGCAGCCAGCCTCACTGCCCTGGTCTTTGGCTCCCCCTCAACCAACCCTGTGCTTTTTGCAGACCTGATTCTGCAGGGCCATTTGCCATGTGGTTCTACCATACGAAGCAGGCAATCCTTTCCGGGCAATACATCTAGTCCTCATGCCTGGACTGCCGTATGGGCTTTCTTGCCACATCAAGCCAGGAGCTCATTTCCTCCACAAACATCATCCATGCCATCAACTCTAACCCTGCCCCACATTCTTTCACCCTGGCATCTCAGCCACTGCAGAAAAGGGTCTCCGAGCATCCCCAGAGACTTCCAAAGCCCACAACAGAATCTCTGTGTGGGCCTTTGACATTTTCTCATTTGAAAGTCCTCAAATCCCCCAGTGAACAGTTTTCTCATCTCAGTAACTTTGCACGGAATCTGTTTCCTCTGGTTTTTGCCCTTCTGAGACGTTAAAACCAGCAGAGATTTGAGCCAAGGGACAAGGTTAACTAATCGGCTTTAGCACGACACTTGTTTCATCAAGGCATAGGTCTGGTCCTCAACCCCATTTTAATAAGTTCAGGGCATCCCATAATGGTACTGTCCCTCATCTTGGATCCAGAGGGGATAGTAACTATCCCCCACCCCAAGCAAAATTTAACTTTCAATTTTAAGTTGGCTTTTCAGCTATCTTGCTCCCCCCAAGCCTGCACATCTGGAACCATTCACAAAGTGGTGGTTGAAATTTTCACTAATTCAAATGGAATGCTAGGATGGAGGCCATTGGGAGGCCCTGAGCTTCCCTCAAGTTGCAGAACAAGCAGTTCTACTCTCAGAAATGCACGCGTCAACAAACACCCTGGCGAGCACCCACTGGGGACCGAGCCCTGCACTAGAGGGAGGGGAGCACCCCATCTGCATATACTGGGACCTTGAGATATGTGGGGCAAGGGTACAGAATGAACTGTGTCTGCCTCCTCAAAAAGAGTTCACAAGTGTAAGCCCTAACCCTCGTGGTACTCCAGTGACAGTGTGTGTGTGACGTGAAATAAGGCCACGAGGCTGAGGTCCTAATTAATAAGCCTGACGTATGTAGAAGGCGGCAACGATTCAAGTTCTCTTTCTCTCCGCTAGGCGAAGATACAGTGAGAAGGCCGTCATCCCGCCAGCCCGAAACCCACCAAGCTGGCATCTTCTTCTCAGATCTCCCAGCTTTCACAGCTGCTGCAGGCACCCAGCCTATGGTGCTTGGTAGCCCAAACTGACCACAAAGACAGCAAGCTCTTCTGTCCACATCCAGTCAGTGTGGTTCATGGGAAAAAACAGCAATCCAGAGATGCTACGCTCTTTTTCTGCCTAGCAACACTGCCTAGGAACAGGCATCAGGGAGAAATTGGAGAGAAACATACAAAAACTGACCCATTCACCCATCTCCATCTACCACCCACCAACCCACCAATAAAAATGTATGGAATAACTGTTTTGTACAGCTATAAATACTTTTCAAATGCAGTGTATTCATACTTGTTTACAAATGCATTAAAATATCTGGAAATGCACACACGAAATGGATAGTAAGTCTCCTCTGGAATAGAAGGAGAGAGGAAAAAGGAAACAAGGTTGTTGAGGAGGGGCTTTTAAGGATGTAAAACTGTTATGAAACGTTCACCTATAAAAGGAAAACCACAAGGGCTTGCACATAGCTGCTGAATGATCTGTACTCAGGCAGTATTCAAGGCAGAATGGGCCTGGCTTTACTATTTGACAGGCCACCCTACCCTCTGGGCTTTTTCTCGGGAACATGGGGATGTGACCTGCAAAGGTGCTGAGTTTGTCGCATGCTGCCCATATTCCCAGGAGTTGGCACAGTGCTGGGCGCACAGTAAATGTGGAAACACTGCTGACCTGGATGCCTGTACACATGAAGGAGCTGGGGACTGGGGGGCGGACACAGAAAGAAAAAGAGAGGGAGTCTCAACAGAAAGGTTCTGTGGGAGCTCTCAGCCGGCCAGGAGCTTTTTGGGGGGGTATGGGGGGGTACCGGGGATCTAACTTGGGCCCTTGTGGCTGCGAGGCAGATGCCGGAACCACTGAGCTAAATCCCTGGCCCTCAAGCTTTGATCAGGACACAAATCTGGGGAATTCTGTAGATTAAGACCTGAAGACAGGACAAGTGGGGAATCTGTGCGGCGCTGAGGTTTAGATGTTTAAAGGGACTTTGGGTGCCACCCGGAAAAGGGCTCTGGAAGGTCAGCCAAAGTCTCCAGCACTTACAAGGGGCACTAGGTCTCCAACAAGAGTGACACAAGCTTCACCTCCAAGACAACCACGGGCAATGTAGTCTTCACCTGGACTCTGTCTGCCTACAACTCACAGGGTTCTTGAACAGATGTTTACTCATTTTAATGCCATATTGAGACTCAGCATAGCATGAAGGTTAAGAGCACAGATAGGATCCAGGATGCATGGGTTCAAGTCCAGTTCCACCATGTAACACAGTTAATGCTCTGTACTCCAATTCCCTACTGTTAAATTAGGAATGGAGCCTGGTCCCGGGAAACAGGTAAGAGCTGAATGAAAAGGATATGAAGATACCCAAGTAAAACCTCGTGAATTCACTCACAGGGACGTCATCATCCTAGCTCTTTGAAACAAAGTAGATGGCATTAAAACCTACTTTGGAGGCTGGGAGTGTAGTTTAGTGGTAAAATACTTGCCAGCATGCCTACTGCCCTGGGTTTGATTCCCAGCACTACCGACATCCCTATATTTGATGTATCGTTTGATCTTTGTGTGTCCACTCGGTTAAACTAAATGACAAAGACAGAAGGTGGGTGGCACACACACACCTCTCCCAGTTTTTCAAAGAAAACCCAATTGAGGTGCTGCTCTGAGAACTTTTCCAGATGTGATGAAAGTCCCTAAGCAGTTGACTTTAAAGTAGAGAGGTTATTTTTGGTGGATCCAACCTAATTATATGAGCCCTTGCAAAGGGCTGAGCTTTTCCTGGCAAAAAAAAAAAAAAAAAAAAAAAAAAAGACTCCAGTGACAGGTAATCTGCAATGGTTTCTCCGTTCCTGAATTTTTCCGATGGATTGGACAAGCTTCAGCTATACCCCTGTGATCTTCTCTTTCTGACAGCTTGCTCTACAAACAATGGCTCACCTTCCCAAGCCTCACAATCACCTAAGTCAATTCCTGATAAGCTATCTCTTAAGGTATATTATCTCTAGTGGTTTTGCCTCTCTAGCTGATC